ATTCTCCCACCCTACTGTGCAGATGGTGCTGGTTTAAAGGTGGCCCAGTGGGGGCTGGACAGAAACAAAGAAGATGAGCAAAACCTGATTCTAATCAAGAGGATAAGACCTTTCAAGTTAGCTTGCTTTCTTTACATCCTACAGTAAATCCATGGTTTGACTGGTCCCTTTGTCCACGGGGAGTCAATTTTATTCCTTCCTACTCCTGATTCAATTCAGGGTGACCAGTATTTGGTCCAAACCCACATGGGATAAGTTTTGAGTAAAAGAGATTATCTTTACTTTCAAATTCTGAGCAAACGAAGGTGAGCCCAGTCCCCACTGGAATTTGTCCAAGTGGGATGTTAACATTTTGAATGTCGATTGATGCAATTCATCAGATCTGACAACAAAAGCTAGTTGTTTACTCCAGGCAACAATGCACTTCATTCTCAATCTGTCGTTCTCTTCCTTGCATTTATAAACTGAAGCTTTTACGCCCACCAAAGGAGAAAGAACCCCTCTTCTCCTGGCTGGTCAGTGCAAACCTGGGTCCAAGGCCTTCAGAGCAGAGCACCGGCTGCATCTCAGTTGCATTCACGCTCCACGGAGGGCGCCGCTCTTCATACTCTGAGGAAGTTTTAGGTTAGGTCACTGGCCTTGGTGAGAAGCCACGGCATTCACATCGATGTGTCTGTGGACATGTGTCTGTGGTTTCTGAGAGAATGAGTGGGCATTTGTAGCCTGTAAATTTATCCTGCCCCTCCCCCCAGGTGTAATATCCTTACTCTTTAAATTTTGGAAATTGGTGGTATATATGGGTGGAAAATAGAAAACGTCTGTCTTCTCTAATGACCGCTTACGAGAGTTCCATTCACGACGGCTAAAACTCCAAGTTTTAGAAGTCCTTGAGGAATTGTGGAGATGTGCCTGAGGAAGACTGACAGAGTAAAGGTAATTTGTCTCCAAGTCAATGACAGGCTACAAGTGGATTCTGAAAAATACAGCAAAGATGAAAATTGAACGGGCCGCTGAACTGATCTTGAAGTACTTAGACAAAAGGAAGCATGATATCCAGGGGAGTGCAAATTCCCTAGAAATTAACTTTCTTTCTGGGGTCGACAGACTCATACATTAGGGCCTGAGTCCCTGATCCAGTCGATGGACTATTTCATGCTATCCTTGTGAACGAGTTGGGGAAATGTGGGTGAGGCTGCAGGAGTCAATTGAATTTACCTGTATCGAACATTTACATCAATGAGCATGAACTTTTGCAGGATTTTGGAAGACCTGAAAGGCACGGAGATATTTAGCCCAGAAAAGGAAAAAAAAAAAAAGTTTTGTTTTTTTTTTCCCCTTTTGGAGGAATAACATAAATAACATAGCAGGTGTTTATATATATATATATATATATATATATTATTTTTTTTTAAAGAATTTATTTATTTCACAGAGAGAGAGAGAGTACAAGCAGGAGACGCAGCAGAGGGAGAGGGAGAAGCAGCCTTCCCACTGAGTGGGGAGCCGGATGTGGGGCTTGATCCCAGGACCCCAGGATCATGACCTGAGCCGAAGGCAGATGCTTAACCAACTGAGACACCCAGACCCCTTAAAATACTTTTAACAGCTCTATCATCAAAGAGGAATTAGACGTTCCTGTGTCCCTGTATTTGGGATTAGGGAAGCAGATATCCTAATGTAAGGGAAAAGGTTTCTGTCAATCAGTCTTTTGAGGTAGCAAGTATTACTTTCTTCACAAGTTCAAGAAGAGGCCATTCATCTTTCTTGGACATTGTCTAGTGGTTGCTTGTATCAAAGGGAAGTTGGGTAAGATCATTTCTTCTGGTCTTTTCTAGACTTTTAGATGCTGAGATAAGGTTGGAGAAGTAAGTTAAGTGGTCAGAAAGCAAAAGAACATCTTCCTCTTTGTCATCATTACTAAAGGAGCAAATTAAGTTTTTGTCACACAGGAAAAGCTTACATTCCCAAGTGCCTGGGATTAGAGATAAATCAGGAATAGGGAATCTTTATAAAAGCCATGAATAACAAGAATTTCCTAAAAGCATCACATCATGTTGTAAGCCATCAGAAGGGAGTACTGCATTCTCTTTTTCACAAGGCAAGAATGTTTTTCAGATGTATTCAATCCAATTAGAATTGTGATTGCCATATAATAATTTGAGCTGTGAATATTGCATTTTCTCTCACATTCTAGGAGTAAATTGTCTGAAAAGCAGATCCCTTTGCAAATGTAGTAAATCTTTTCTTAGTGTTCAAACTTATCTGCGAGTTTTCCTTTTCCTCCCTAGTCAGATTGTGGAGGGTCTTGATTCTCATTTTGAGAGATTTTGAGTTCTTTTGACCATGTAACCTATTTTGAGAAATACAGTTTATACCTTGACCCATATATGATCCTAACTGAAGCCAAATATTTGAGAAATAACACTTATGCATTGATATAATACCCTGAATTTGTCAATTCAGTTCATGGATAATTACTGTTCATGCCTCACTAATTTCACAGGATTTGCAGATGAAAAAAACCCATTACTATAGTCAATAATTTCAGGAAACTCAAATAATGGCAGAATAAATGAGAGGGTGGAGGTTTCGCCACTTAGGACATTTGATAAAAGATGAACTTGTTACAAAAAGATAAAGTTTGCATATATATTGCATGAAAAGTCCTGGGGTTTGCAATGAATTTACATATTCCTCTTCACTTCCTTTCTTCTTTTCAGCTTCCTCTCCCTGCCTCCCTAAAAAAGCCACACACCCCTAGCAGAAGCTACTGTAATATGAAAGTCCATGTGAGAGACTGCATTCACTCTGTGTATCTTAAAGCTTGACATCCAGGGAAGCACGTTTTAGCCTAAAGCACGTCTGTCTGTTTACGAACACATTCAGGTAACTAGGGAGATAATGGAATTGCTGATACACTGCTCATCGCGGCTTGGGTAACCATTCTTTTATTATCAGGAAGGCAAATGCAATTTTTAAGATCAAAGTGGACATCTCTTGGAAGCTACATTTATTACAAAAGGCTAAAGTGTCCACATTCCGAGGAATCAAAGAGACTGAAAAGCCAGAAAAGCAGTAGTATTCAAGAGGTGAATGCAATCTTTGACGGACAGCAACCACAGAAGTCAGTGACAGGAACAAGAGGTAATTTAATTCTGAAAGTTACCAACTCTGCAAGCTCCGGGCTTAAGCAAGGTGCCTGATAATGGTGATGGTCACAGACAGGGTCTGCCTGACAAACAATTTCGACTGCCAGGGCAGGGACTGAGAATACTTTCCTAGTTTTCACGTTCTGAGATTCCCTTGGTAGCATTTTGAACCCATTTCTGCCAGGAACAGGAGCCCCACTCACTGACTGCAGGGGAGATAAAAGTAGAAGGTCATTATAACCCAGTCACTGTTAGGGAGTCTTTGGAAAACCATCATGGATGAATTCTAGCCCTGAAAACATGGCCACCTCGGAGTAAAAACCAGACTGTGACTGTTCCCCTGTCAGCTGCCATCTAATGGCAGTTTCACCGTATTTAGGGGTCTTTTGTATCCTCCTCTAAGCCCCAACATGGCTTTAAATCCCCCTACCCCCTATAGATCCCTTTGCCAAGGCTTTCTGATAGTTTAACTTCAGGAAAGCCTGATGAACATCTCTCCAGCTGGGCCCTCTTCAAATGCTTACTGGAAACTCCATCTCTAAAGAACTTTTCTAGTAGTTTTAAATATCCTCAAAATCTTGGCCAAAGCATTTGCCAGAATAACAATGGGCCTTTATTATTTCTTCTCAAAAACTCTCCAGCAATTTCAGAGTATGAAGAGGGCTTCAGAAATTCTGGTTACTTGATGAGTGTGCTTCATGTTACAAAAGGAATCATTTACCTCTCCCTTTTTATCAGGCTAATGTCTTCTGAAATTCCCCCAGCATTTCCAAGAGTTTATCCTTCCAGAGACTAGAATCACAAGAAGCATTTTCTGATGTTTATCACATACTTTTTGGAGTTTAAAGGGTTAGTGTCACAGAAATGGTTCTTATACTTGGGAGTTTCTCCACTGTAAACTTTTACTGCCCGTATTATTAATGAAAAGACGGTATCAATTCTAACACATTTGAAACAGACCCTTAGAAAGTATGCAAAGCCCCAATCACAGACATTTTTCTTGTCCTAAGAAAAAATATATGATAGTTTCAAATTTATGAAAGCTTTAATGTGATCAAACGGGTACAGCAGGAGGAATAGTTAATAGTATGCCTTGGGCAAACTCTGGGCTCACTTTTGGAAAAAGTTTACCATTCACCATTAAAGGACCTAAGAGTTGGTCAAACTAAGCTAAATATATATTTTTCTTTTTCTTGGCATGCACAATTCTCATGCCCACACTGGAAAAAAAAGAAAAAAAAAGACTTAACTTTGTAGAGACCAATAGATTACTATAAATTCTTACCTATATCAAACTTAAGTTAATGACCGGGTTATCAAAGATTATTACGCTGGATATATCATTTTGATTGAACTCCCCAAGTTCAAGATGTTGGAGCACTACTCAGAAACACCACCTGCCCTCTTCGTTCCCAACAGGGTGGAAACAGAGGCTTAAATCCAGCTTCCTATTTTACATCATTTTCCAATGAGAGTAAAGTAAAATAGTTAATTTAATTGGTTCTTTAGGGAAAAGGCAAAAGAACAGAGAGAACCGAGATGAGGAAGGGACCATCCGAGAGAATAGTTACAAGAGAATATGTGTTTTCAGTGAACTCTGCCTTTCCTGATTCTTACGTCCGCACACTTCCTCTGATGCTTTGCCAAGTTTGATAAGGGGATGGATTCGTGTATTTGGTGCAACTTGTCCTTTTCTACAACTTGTAGGTCTGACTTTTCTCCAAGGGGCGGATATTGTTGCCACCTGTTTTCTTCCATTTTATTAGAGATGATTGTCCTCATGGGTCCCAAGTTGACATGCCTGAAATGAGTAAGCTGCCCTCTCCCACAGCCTCTCCCTCAGCTACTCACTCAAAAGGGTCGCTGGGATCTGCCCTCTGGAGCTCTGGAGGGATGGGGATCCTTTTGTAGTACATTTCCCAGTCGAAGGCGCCTCGCATGGCATCCCCAGCTTGTGCCTCATACCCAAAGTGGTTGTGGTCAATGACATCGATCATGGGGCACACGATGGTTTTGTGGTTTAGTGCAATTTGGTCTGAAAAATGAAAGCACAAAATAGGAAATGACATGCCTGCCTAGGTCATCCATCATTTTCTCAGCAAAGAGAAGCCTACAGATCCTTCCTAATGTGGGGGTGCTGCTTGCCCTCTGTGGTTTCCTGTGGTTGTTAGAAGGCTTTGCGAAATCTCTTCTAAGGCTGGACTTAACGTGATGGGACAGTGATTAGGTACAATTAGTGTTGTCGTGTTTTCCTTTAAGAAAGTTATGTCCCGGAGAGACTTGCAGAAGTCCATTTAGCTCTACCTCTGTCACATTTTTGCTCTGACCTGTCCCCAATCTGTCATTTTATAGCGCGTCCAGCATGCATGGAGTATAAACAGTATTTGTGTTCCTTCAAGCATACAGCGGGAGCTTGCTGAGAAAATATTGTCCTGCTTTCTGGAGGTTCCAGAAATGTAAATATTTAACTTCATGTTTCTTTTATTTAGCCTCTAATCTTATGATGTCATGATGGCTGCTCCCCCGTTAAATGCTGACAGATCACACCAAGCATTCTTTGTTATTGTCCTTTGATTGTCCTTTGTTTATTAAAGCTATATGTTTTTATCTTCTCTCATTCTATCCAAAAATGTAGTAGATGGCCTGATGCTACTGTTACTATTCCTGCTACTCTCAAATTCTTGAGCAACTGCTAAGTGGTTTATAGTCTTGGTAGTTCTAATTCTCTAGCAACCTGTAAAGTGGCTGCCGTTGTCATTCTCAATCTACAGATGAGGATACTGAGCTCAGAGAAGCTAAATAACCTGTCCAAGGTCACTCATCTTTGGAGAGCAAAACCAAGGACGCAATGCTTGCCCAACAGTCCTATCCTAAAACTCGTGGTCTTTCCAGTTCTCCATGATGCTTCTCACGTGATATCTTTTTCAGTCCCAGCTCCTTCCTTTTCCATGTAGATATTATTGTTGTGAGACTTTAACAGCGCAGGAAATCGGCATTTACACATGTTGCCTCACCTGGAACAGCTATAGGTGACATAGGGTTGACTATTGAACAACAAAGGTCCGAAATGCACAGGTCCACTTATGAATAGATATTTTTCGATATAGTACAGTGCTGCAAATGTATGTTCTCTTCCTTATGATTTTCTTAAGAACATTTTACTCTCTAGCTTACTTTATTGTCAGAGTAGAGTATGGAATACATATACCGTACATGGTAAGTGTCAGTTGACTGTTTATGTGATGGGTAAGTCTTCTGGTCAACAGCAAGTTATTTGGGGAGCTGTTACACATGAATCTTTGACTGTGCAGGGTGTTGGTGCCCCTAACCTCTGTGCTGTTTAAGGGGCCAACCATATTTTCTTCCCACAAATGTGCACTCAGTATTTATTATAACAAACATATTGTCTGACCGAACTTTTAAGTATGAACATCTGATTTCTGGCTATTTGGATGATCTGCTGTGGCATGTGGAATAAAATATATTTAAATATCTTAAAAAACATCTTTTAGAAATAATGAGATTTGGCTAGTTCAGTATTATTTTTTTGATGTCTCTGATGGGGCAGGGTGGGGAAACCTCAGAAGCCTACAGAAGATCTCCCCTCCATATTTATATGCCCCTTCCTTCCTTCCTCCCTCCCTTCCTTCCTTCCTTCCTTCCTTCCAATTCAACAGCTATTTATTGAGTAGAAATTCTATGCCTGCCACTTGTCTAGGTTCTGGGAACACAGCAGTGAATAACAACCACAAAAATCCCTGTCTTTAGCAATGGAGCAAAGACAATCAATATACATAATAAATCTCTAAATTACATAGTACATTTGAAGGTGATAAATGTGATAGAAAGAAGATAAAACAGGATAAGGAGAGTATGATGTGGGCATGTGGCAAGGTAAACGGCATGGCCCCAGGAGGCCCCTGATACCCTAGAGGTGGCCTTCCTATTATTTCAGCTAATCGGTAGACAGAGAGACCCCCAGCACTATTTCAGGTGATTCTTTGACAAGCACCCTATGAGCATCCATTTTCACCTGGGAAAGTCTTGTAATGGGTTTTAATCTTTATCTAAATGGTGTTTCCCTGTAGATGTCTTTGGCAGAGGAGGCATCATTGCTGTGTCCAAAATCTCTCTCCTAGCACCTCTGCAGGTAGTTCAATATTACGGTTTCAGTGACTTTCTTCAATCAAATTCAGAATCAGGTTGATTTACAAGTTCCTTGACCAATAAGGAGTCCCAAGGTGACCCAAAGAGAATGAGTCTGTTAAATTAACTGTCAACTCTCCCTTCAAATTTCCTTTCAGCTCTCATCCAGCTGTTCTAGCTTAGGGTGAAAGCAGCATGACTAATTTTTCATCTAAGGCTTGTGCCTACATTTCAATTTCCAGGGATCAAACAAACAGACTCTTAATGGGAAATTGAAATTCAGGTATAATCCCAAGGTGAAAAATGAACCAAGAAACTGTGTGGCTCCGCCTGCTTTTTTTCATTTTGGATGATGTGTCAGGACACTGATAGAGGAAAATAAAAAAAGATAGTGATCCTGAGCTTGAATCATTTCTTATCCATCAGGCCTACAGGAAATGAAATGCTTTAATGAGAAAAAGTGGGTTTCTCTTTATTTTTTTCTTTCTCTCTCTCTCCTTTTTTTCCCCCTTTTAGATTCATATGAACAATCAGAGGCTTGATAATTGGCATTTAGGAATTGCTTTGGTTCATAAATAAATTAGGCCTTTTACTGACTTCCTTGAGTATTCGACACCATATAGGTCAAGTTCAGTTTGCAGGAATCTCACTGTTGCTGATGAAACTCTAAATTGCTATGTCCTTGAACAAGGTACTTTTAATTAAAAGCTCAGAGGAGTCTCTGGCCAGAGGAGCACTGAGACATTCCTGTTGATTACGTACGATGGCTGGGCAGTCGCCTAGGCAGGTGTGTGCGGATTGCGTGAGACGGTGGGGCGTTAGTTGCTGGTCATTTCCTGTCTTAAATCCTATACAGTTTCAATTGATTCCCCGCCCACCCCCCCAGCCCACGTCTTTTACTAATGGAGCTTTGCTGGTTCTATCTGAAATCCTACACAGTAGTCAATAGCAAATCATTCTTTCTGAGGCAGCGGATTGTAAAGGCCGTTTTTACTGGCTTTAGCTCCAAGGCCAGTGTTATATTTACAATAAAAGTTGATATAGCGAAATCTGGAAGAATAAGAAAGAGTACAGTATGTGCACACCAAGAACTTTTTAGAAACATGTATATATATCTGTATCTATATATCTATATTTTTCTAGTCTGGCAATTTATTCCTCATCCAGTATTGGACTTTATATCTGACTTCATGGTGAAATAAAAAACAAAATAGTCAAGCTCCAACTGAGTCACACAAGCATTTTCTAGCTTGAATGACTCTTAGTTCTTTCATGTTTCTAACAGTTTAAGTGTAATGTGACAGAGGGGCTGCTTCTTCCCTGACTCTGCGCCATATTGTGAGCCTTAGAGATGTGTCATCTGGATAGTAGCTTGAGGGGGTCCTCTGTAAACTTGGGAGATTATGTATTTGGGGCTCTAGACTGGTGCCAGGAGTCGAGAGGAGAACTGGCATTTTAATCCACAAAAATGTCAGGGCACTTGCACTTGAACTGTATTCTGGGGCTTAATAATTGTCTTTCCTCTTTTCTTAACAGTTCTGTAATAATTGTTATATTCTGTGTGTGTGTGTTAATCTGAACTGTATAGAGATAGTTTTTTCAAAGATCTTATTTGTTTGTCAGAGAGAGAGAGAGAGATCAAGCACATGCAGGGGGAGTGGCAGACAGAAGGAGAAGCAGGCTCCTTGCTGAGCAGGGATCCTGTTGCGGGACTTGATCCCAGGACTCTGAAATCATGACCTGAGCTGAAGGCAGACGCTTAACTGACTGAGCCACCCAGGTGTCCCGAGATCGTGTTTTTTAGCGCTTTCTTCTTTTAGTATTTACCGAACCACTATAACTACAATAAAGGAGAACGTCTAAACTAAATGAAACCATTACAAACCTTAAATTAGACTGCGGTTGGTAGTATCTAAAATGGCAATTTTAATGCAGTTTTCTAGTGACCTATTTGTTCTCAGCTGTGGTTAAGATAGAATTCAAGGCTCTCATTGTAAAAATTGTAGAAGGGATCTCTCGCCTTTGTTGATTGCAAACTGGACAGAAGCAAGCCACACACTCCCTCTGAAGGACGCCGAGTCCCCAGGCCCTGCTGGTCCCCGGAAGGCCACCATCAGCATGCGTACTCACTAAGGAGCGGGGGCAGCCAGTTCACATTGACCTCGCAGTGGGAATCCAGGAACGTCAGGACTTCTCCTCTGGCCATAGATGCCCCCAAGAGGCGGGTCCGGATGAGCCCTTCCCTTTTCTTGGTGCGAACAATCCTTACTTTGGAAAAGCGGGCCATATATTCTTCTAACTTATCCTTCAAGTGTTCTAGGGACGAAACAGAGAATGTAGAGAAAGACCACAGAACATTAATTGCAGCAGAATTATCCGTGGGTGCTTACGCATTAAGTGTACGTGAATGATGACTTCAAGCTTACATCCATTTTTCTCCTCTCTTCATCTCAAGGAGAGACAATAATAAAATTTTACACCCACAGGTTTTTTTTACTTTGTACTTCCCAAAAAGCTTTATAAAATGCAAATACTGCCCTTTATTTGAATACTAGAAGACACAGACCCACGAGAGCTGTACCATGCCATGACTATTGGCCAGCTGTCACCATGCTTAATCCTGGCTAGCTTTTGCCATGGTGGGCATTGGCCCTCTGGTTCCTGCTGTGTAAAGTCGGATGAACATTCCAGCATCTGGACTGTGTTCAACAAGAGGGCTCTTTCCAGCAAGGCCATCCTAGTTTCTGTGTTTTGAAAATAATGCATGTAAAACCACAAGAAAAAAAATTGTATCTCTCAAATCAACAAGAACCAAACAGATTTTTCCCCCAACAGGGTAATAGTAAACTAATAAAGAAGTTCAGCATCTGGGTCTGATTTGAAGTGTAAAAGTGACTGACTTGCTGTTAAAATTAGATGTGAAACAAGGAAGGCAGATAGATACTACACAATCATTTTGAACTTAAGCTGTTTAAGATTAGAAAACAAAAATTTAAAAATGTCTCTTTGCCTAATTAAAAACAAACTGTGGGAACCAAATCGAATCAGATAGCTTATTTATAGCGAAAAAAGATCTCCTCCTGCTGTTATAAGATGCACTGATATCTTAGATCTTTAATGTCAAGTAAGTGTTTTTGGTATCTTTCTGTGGAATTTGTACTCATATAATTTACATCCCGTGCTTTCACTCTCCTGTATCTAACATAGGAGGGCTTTGCTGGAGTTTCTTTTCTTTTCTTTTCTTTTCTTTTCTTTTCTTTTCTTTTCTTTTCTTTTCTTCTGGTATTCCAGAATTCATTGTTTATGTACCATAACCAGTGCTCCACGCAATACATGCCCTCCATAACACCCACACTGGAGTTTCTAATAAGCAACGTCTACTAGTCACAGTAACAGAATCTTAGTACGCAGTAAGTTCTGTAGTTCCTCTTTCAGACTTTCTCTACATGTGTGCAATAAAAGGCAATATTATTTTTAAGTCTCCTTCTATGATCTGTAGAAATAGGGATTCAAGTAAGGATTTATGAGTTCTTTCCCTGCAATCCAATTTAACTGATGTCAGAATTACTCACATTGGAATTTCTTTATACATAAGCCTTCATTTTTATTTTTATTTGTTCTTATTAACGTAGTGTTTTAAAAAAAAATCTCAATTTCCAGAGTGCCAGGGTGGCTTAGTCGGTTAATGTCCGACTCCTAATTTCGGCTCAGGTCATGATCTCAGGGTAATGAGATCGAGCCTCACATTGGGCTCCTAATTGAACATGGAGCCTGCTTAAGATTTTCTCTCCTTCTCCCTCTGCTCCTCCCTCCACTGTGTGTGCATGTGTACATGCTTTCTCCCTCTCTCTCTCAAAAAAGAAACAAACCCAAAAAACAACTCAATTTTCTTTTTTTTCCCGACTGCCCCGTAACTAAGCTTTACAAATAGATAAAGATAAAACTACTTCTAATTTTTCCTACAAAAGAATACTGGTGGGGTCTTTCACAAGAGTGTTTTAGCACAAAATAGGTTTTCTTCTATTTTGTTCTTCCTGTAATGAACAGACCTATAGAGATCAGAGTACAGAAAGCAAAGATTACAGATCTGGAGTCAGAATAGACCTAGGTGGGATGTCAGCACCAGTGAAATATATGAATATATGTGAAATGTATTCTCTTATCCTGAATTTTCTCATCTACAAAATACAGGCAATTGGGAGATTTTCTCCTCTTAGAGTGTGGTGGAGAGGATCTGGTTTTTGGTCAGAAACCTCATAGTACTTGTTCGGTAAACATTCAATAATTGGAGACCTCCTAAGTCACACATACTTATGAAGAGAAACAACAGCTTGTCTAGCTGAAGAAATGCCTTTGAAGGCTCAGCCTGAAAGATGAAAAATCTAGAATTTGTATTTCTTGGTGAGATTTTGATAATTCATCATCTTCTATTGATTGAGAATTTAAAAAATGAAAGGTTTTGGCCACCAGTAAGTGAACACATATAACTTTATGGCGGTATCACAGTTTCTCACAGAAAAGCTGGCTGCAAAGTGTCTCCAACTCTTGAAGATAGGTGTGCCATGCCAAGGACCTATCTTCTGCCCCTCTTCTCTTTGCTTACCCACCCCGTACCCACCTATGCAAGAGAGAGATTCCCAAGGGCTGCACAGCACAGGGGCCACCTGTGAATAAGACCGGAGCTTACTAACCTGTTAGGGAAATAAAGCAGAAACCTGCAACCAAGTAGTGCAATGAGAGGCAATGAGTAAGTGGCAAGTGATCAGTCCCAGAGCTCTCTATATGCCAGCCCAGAAAGGCTTACATTCGTTCAGGGTTTCTCACAGTAATAAATGTTTAAGAAGAGGCCATATCTCATTACTGTAATTTATTCTGGCTCTGAAATCCTTCTGTATTCCAACGTACAAACAGGTGTCATTCTATAGGTTTATTTGTAAACTGTTTGGCCACAGAAACGTAGTGTCTCCTGGAAACGGTGTCACAATAGTCATTGGGGATGGAAAAGAGTGAACATTTGTTAAAACCCACCAAAGCAGTGTTTGTTTGTGTTCTTGCATTAAGCCTCACTGTTCTTTGGCAGGTACCACAGTGAGTATGGTCTTGGTGGTCTGGGTGCAGGTACTTCTTTCCTCCCTGACCCTAAGGACTAAAGAGGCCTCTTGGGGAGAGGAAGACTAATTCTCTGTAGCTGTGTATGAGGAAATGGCTCTAGAAGACTACAGTCACTTCCCCGGTGGTCTAACTTGTTGATCACCTGGGAGTGGTTGGAGTGGTTGTCCCAACTTTGGGTTTAGATTTCTCTACTTTTTAGTTTATACGAAATTCTCTGAAACTCAGCGGGGAACTATCTCTACGTGTCTCCTTTCTGTCTATTCACATTATCTGATTCTGTGTATTTTTCTTTGATCAAAGCCCATTTTAATGTACTAAAGGAATTGTATGGTATGAATCCACAAAACACAAAGGGTTTGACCCTAGATAGAGTCCCCTAATCATTCAAATCAATTCTTTTAGTTTGAACTTTGTAGTAATCATTAGGTTGCTTTGTCTCAGAATAATGATCTGGTTGACTGCCCTTGTGAAGGGTCCATTCTTGTTTAGTAGTTCAGCTGTAATTTCTAATTACCCATAACTTACAATGAAAACAGGTATCATTAGTCTGATTAGCAAATTAGATTCTCATACAATGGAGTTACTGGGGATGGTGGAGATGGCTTTAAATTAAAAACATTTTATATTTCTTGTATGTGAGCAATTTTAAGATTCATTTCTAAAATATTATTAAAATGATTTTAAACATGATTTTATATGATTTTATTTCAAGTATAGTATTTCTGAAGATCCCTTTTGAACTTCAATTTTAAATAATGACAAGAAAATTTATGGTATTTTTATAAAACTGGCAGTTTTCTTTAGGGATTATGAGACATTTGGGGAACCAGAAAACATAAGACCACTAGTTAAAACCCACTGAGCCATATCCTGATGACCCAGACAAGTGAACACAACTTCAAATACGCTAGTTTTTGCCAGGGTTCATTGTATCTTTGTGGGGCAATAAGGAATGAAAATTTGTACTCAAGTGAAATTTTGGTGTCCTGCTACAGTGAATATTAAATTTAGCAGTTTTCTCAATTAATTTTCCTTTTTCCAAAAATTTCACTTATACTCCATGAACTTATATGGAGAATCGATCATTCATTCCTTTATTTAATGTTAGGGGTAGCAACTAAACAGTAATAAAATTTCCTTCAATGATTTGCATAGTCAAGAGTTGAGGACATGAGTAAGTGGGTCACTGCGTTCCATTTAACCTCATTTGCCTTAGCTATAAGGAAGGAAAAATGTCTTAAATATTCCTTCTAGTTCTATAATTCTATGGTTTCCCCCGGTGAAGTTTTACTTACAGAGTAAATCTAACCTTATTGAGTACCTAGTTTTTTCACGAAAGCATCCTAATGGTTGGTAGTTTGGTGTTTCTTTGGGCTATGTCTCACTTTTGAAAGCAAGAGTCAAATCAAAATAAAACTAAGGCATATCAAAGATTTAGTCAAAAAGTGAACTCCAGAGTATTTTCTTTAGTCAATACAGTACCTGTCTAATCTCCTGTGGTTCACTGTCTGTAAGACTGTTACTGATGTCAAAATAATGACTTTGAAGCACTGTAAGTTCATCAAAGATTTACATCTGTTCAATAAATCATGCTTATTATATCAGAAAATATAGTAACAGAGTTCAGACAGCTTTCTAGTCTACCTCTGAGGAACTGATCCCAAGGGACAATCTAGAGACTATCATTATTTATAGGGCATGGCTAGTGTGTCCCAAGTGGAGGACCCACCAAAGGCCAAGCAAACAGCTGCCCTTAGTGGCTCATTGAGTTGTTGTCCAGCTCCTTCTATCTCCTTTGAATTCCCTAATTTACATCCCAAGATGAGAGCAAGAGGGACAAGGAGACTCTGTTTATCTAGAGATAGGGATTTCTATATTTAATTATACACCTATGGAGATGAATGCTTTTGAAGTGTATATGTTGGTTTTGGCAAAATGAAGTAGAGCCTGACTTTAAGATCATATAGAGTCTGTGTTAGTTATTATGAGTTCTTTATTTTTTTTTAAGATTTTATTTATTTATTAGAGAGAGAGAGATTGAGAACAAGCAGGCAGAGGGGCAGAGGGAGAAGGGGGAAACAGACTCTCTGCTGAGCAGGGAGCCCAATGCAGGAGTTGATCCCATGACTCCGGGATAAAGAACTGAGCCGAAGGCAGACACTTAACTGACTGAACCACCCAGGCACCCCTAACTGTTAGGAGTT